AATAATAATAATAATAATAATAAATGACAATTATATAGCGCTCCCCCTCGATAAAGTACACAGGCTCTGAGCACACATTTGACACATTGTATTTCTAGTTCGGAATCCGCTACACTCACACCAGCTATCTCCTACAGTTCACCACACGAGTTAGTAAGCCCTGGTCTGATGTTTTGGTGACAGTAACTTAGTAATTTAAAAAATAAATTATTATAATGTTTTCTACCTACTTTCGCCAAGTTAGATCATTTTGGCAGGCATACTGCCTTGACTCTGCCTACCACGAGAGCCACTTAGGCTGAGTGAGATACAACAACATCCCAGCAGACAAACAGAGACACTCGATTACTGAAAAGAATTTTGTTTTTTTTAATAGTAGAGGGTTTTACGGCGCTCGCAACTGTATAAGGTCCTATGAGCGCCAAGGGGTGGGTGTCAACATAGAAGTCTTTACAGAGAATCAGACTTAGACTGCTCACCTCTCTAGCTTCAACAGCACAAGATCTGCTTCGACGATCAAGGCACCCCCGAAATAGCAGGTCCCAAGAGAGTGACAAACATACAAAAGAAGTAGTGGAAAATGACAATAGTATGGATCAGGAAAAGAATTTAAAATATACAAAACCACAGGAATGTGGTTGGTTGGCGGGTGCTCTGTCGTGGTTTGCCCCTTCTTTCCTATCAAACATCTATCGTCCTGATCTCTCCTACTTCTTTTCTGTGTTTTTTACTCTCTTGTTACACCTCTAATCTTCGGTACTTATATGACATTATTGTGTTGCAAGTGCCGTAAAACCCTTACCCAAAAAAAAAAAAATCGAACTTGTGTCTTCTACCTGAAGACGTTGGACGGAGAGTCAAACATTAACATAATTTGCATAGCAAACTCTGGTTGGTTTGAGTTTTAAGTCCATTTACATTTTCTTTTTCCCGGATTCATTATGATGTATGTCCTCATTGACGGATATTATCAACAGACAACGTGAAAGAAAAGTTCTGTTAATTTTGTTTCGTGTTATGCGTGGTTCTGGATAGCTTTTTTTTTTTTCTTTTCTTTTCTTTTCTTTTATTTCGTTTTACTTTATTGTCGTTTTGATTTGTTTTGTCTTTTGTTTTGTTAGTAATGTTAGTTGATTTTGTTGTTGATGTTTTTATTGTGTTGCATTTGTTTAAAATCCTTGTTAAATGTTTGTTGATTTTGCTCTTTTGTTTTTGCTTAGGCCTACTGTTTGTATATTTCTGTAGTTGTCTATATTATCAAGTGATCTCTTTTTTTTCCCGTGGGGGGTGGGGTGGAGGGAATTTTGGAGAGGGTGGGAGGCAGGAGGGACCTTTTCGTTTGTCTTGTTTTGCTTTCATGTTCATTATCGCAAGAGGCGAGGGTGAGGTTAAGTCTTTTTTTATATTGTTTTGATCTTTATCAAGTCAAAATTTAAAGTTATATTATTATCCGACATGTTTTATGGTACACACGATTGCTTCTTAGATATTATCTTTGCCCTTTGTCTAAACTGCCACAGAATAGGGTAACCTGCTTTAATTTTTTTTGTTATTTTAATTTTCTTCTCTTTTTTTTGGTAAGTGTTTTACGGCGCTCGCAACTGCATAAGGTCATAAGAGCGCGCGGGGCACATTAAACATTTTCAGTTAGAAGGACATTTTGAATTTTGCCCGTTGGCGGCCGAATCCTACCCTTATCGATTTTGGACCACTAAGGGATTTAACGTGCGCAACTTCCACTCGAGACCTCCGAGATTTTTTGTCCTTGTCCGAGAAGGCTAGGTGTAAATCTTTTCTACTATAAGATCAGGGGTGTGGCTGAAAGAGAGCAGTAAGAGGGAGTCAAGGAGTAGCAGTAGAGAGGCTGTAGAAATCTTCTTTATAAAATGAAATACTCTCAACAGTAGGCTTCATACATTTCTGTTACCCCAAATAAGACTCACGTCAACACAAGGTATTCCTCGTTGTAGAACTAGATCTAAACTGAAGTGTAGACATATCACGTTACAGAGATTCGAATCAGGATCACCCCCC